AAAGAAAGAAAGAAATTTAGAAAGAAATAAATTGAGAAAGAAAGAAAGAAAGAAAGAAAGAACGAAAATATGAGGGTTAGCATAAATTACTAAAGACTTTTGTACAGAATAAAAAGAACAAAAAAAAAATAAATAAAGAACGAAGACATCAGGTAATTAAAAAAAAGACAATAACATATGAAGTCCCAATGACTTTCCGACAGAATGAGTGTTACATAGAAAGGAAAAAGATGGTGAGAGAGAGAAAGAGAGATATAGAGAGAAATATTTTAGAAAATAGTTTAGAATGAAAAAGAAAGGAGACTAAGTGGAAAGAAATAAAGAGAGACAAATAAAAGAAAAAAAAAGAAAATAATTTAAGAAGAATGAAATTCGGAATGAAATATAATCAAAAAAGATAAAAGTATGAAATCAAGAATGGACTAAATAAAGAATCGTAGAAAAACGCGAAAAAAGGAAAAAAAATATGGAATCCGAAAGAAATCAGTCACAAACATTAAATTTTGATTAGACTGTTATGCCTTAAGGCCCAATGGAACATTCAAATAATATATTTCTCCAAATTATTATTATTATTATTATTATTATTAGTGTATGTTATGTTTCATGTTTTGTATTGTGTAGAGCCGGGTCCAAACTATGGTCCTTAGGCCCTATATGAGAAATGTCAATTAACTGATAGCAATTTTCTTAGTATATGGGATGTTACTAGTAGGGTGATTTTCTGGGCCAACGGTCTCCAACCTTTTGAACTTCATGGAGCATTGAATCTATAATTTTAAATTTGTCGAACCACTAATATGAATTTAGAAAAAAAAGGTAAATATATTTATATAATAATAATAATAATAATAATAATAATAATAATCGGGAAATCTTTATTTTATGAATATGAAATACACCTATTAAAGATAAAATAAAGATATACTATAAGTTTTAAATAAAACTGAAAATTTGAAGTTTCATAAAAATTGAAATAAGATCCCCATTTTTCTGCGGACCATCAAAACTTTTTCACAGACCACCAACCTGTATGCTGATATTATTATTATTATTATTATTATTATTATTATTATTATTATTATTATTATTATTATTATTGTACCAGATCCTGGTAATTTTTAATCTTCTCGTTTTTTATTTGGAGTCCAATAATAATAATAAAAGATTGAAAAGATCTTGTCGGGGAACTGAAGGAGAACATGAATATAGATCTAATTTTTGTAGTAATGGTAGTGCTTGGAACACTACCTAGAAAACTGAAAAAGTGCTTAAGGAAAATTTAAATTTAGACCAAAATACCAAGATCTGGCTCGGAAGCTGAAGAAGCTATGAAACATGAATGTAGAACTAATTTTTGTACTAATCGAAGTGCTTGGAACACTACCTAGAAAACTGAATAAACTGAATAAAACGCTTAGTTGAAACCAAAATTGTTGGCCTTCAGAAAACTGCCATCATTTACTCTGCGGGGATTCTCTGAAAGGTTCTTGAGTTCATCGGATACTTAGAAGGTAATTATGTTTTCCGTTTTTACCCACTTCCTATCAAGTTTCATTTCGCCAGCTAATAATTACTATTTACAGAGATAAAAAACAAAAATTCGGCCATTAAAATTAATAAATAAATTACAGCGAATTAAGCCGAGGGTGCTTATAAATATAATGAAACGCTTAAAACTGTTTACGAATAAAAAAAATAAATAAAATAAAATAAATAAATTACAGATCTATGATCCTTATGATGCTTATTTCATGATGCCCGTCTAGTCCGATAGCTGGTAAGTGAGTCTCTATGAAAGTGTGGTTGTATGTAAGAATTTTTCTGCATTTTTATTTACAGAGAAACATTCTCCGAGTAGACAAGGATACCCATATTCGATATTGGTCTTAGATAGTGGGTTGGGAAAATTCGAAATATTTCTGACGAAATTTCCGACTTGTCTGAGAAGGGATATTCGTAATTTGGAAATGTTGATCAGTAAAATTTATCGATATAAAATGTCTGTTGTACTTAATATTATTAATAATAATAATAATAATAATAATAATAACATATATATATATGGACAAAGTCCGACAATTATTATATGGAAAATGTTTACTTCTTCGTTTTTTCGGACTGGGTTTATTGACGTTGTTATAACTACACATGCGCATGAACGACAGACGCTGGTAGTTTTAACATTTTTGAAAGAATTTTTTAAGTATTTTTTTAATATTTTTTTTTTTTTTGCTATTGTGTGATCTCGAAGGAGATCGAAAGTACTTGGGTTAACAAGAACTACGGCGCCTTCCGTTATGAATTTCAACTTAACATTAAGAAACTAATTTGAGAACCAGAACGGATTATTGTAAAAGTAAATAGGCATAATATGTCTTTATTGTTTAATGAAACATGGTTGTTAGATATTATTACTAGATACACACAATCACACACACACATATATGATATTATTACCAACACTTTTTAAGCATATATCTTTTCATATTCTAGCTCAAAAAATGTTTACTATCTACATTTTCATTCAAATCTCTTGACGACATATTACGCAACATAAATAACGTTGTTAGTTGAATCAATAAAACTTTTCAGTCTCAAACTACGATCTTGACGAATGGTGGCATGGTTTTTATTAATCTTTTTTTTTTCTTTTTGCACCTTAGCTCTGTTTTTTTTTATTTACTTTTATTTTATTTTTTTATTATTTATTTATTTATTGAGTATTTTCTTTTTGTTGCAAATTTAACTGAAAAAAAACACGACTGAAATCTAGTCTTGTAAATTCATTGACGGAAAAAGCTGCATCTTTCCTAATCCTCTTCTTTTTTGTGCCCTATCCCTTCAGAACGTGGCTGAACATGTCTCTCCACAATTTCCTCTCTTTTGTAGTTCTTAGTAAAATCTGTCTTTTTGCTCTCCCTTTCTCCTAATCACCGTTCTGCCAGCCATTTACATAAAGTTGTTTATTCACTGCTTTCTTACAGCCTCCAAGATGCTATGCGAGCGTCAACTATTCTAAGTCCTCTTTCCTCATTATGTACCCCCAAAAATTTAATTGTCTCTTTCTGACGTTAAATATACGTGTCCTTTTTATTTTATTTTTCTCAAAAACTTCCCCATTACTCACGTATTTACTCTGTGGTATTCTCATCATCTTTCTCTTGTCTCAAGTCTCTTCTTCATCTGAGGAGATTGTCCATCATTCACTGCTATTTAGAAGTACCGATATTACATAACAGTTAATACTCTTTCCTTTGTTTCTGTATGCATAAGATTTTAATCTTCTAATTTTTCTTTCATACGTATTGAGAAAATTAACATGGCACCTTACAGTTCTACACAGGAAATATTTACATCGTGCAGCGTTCTCGCTGTATAAATATTGTAATCGGAAGTGGTCAGGTGATTGGTATACCAAGACTGGATTCCACTGGTTGTGGCGTGTTATCCAGAGTTAAAAAGGAAATAAATTTTTAAACAGCAAAATTTCGTAAAGTCATTCGAGTTCAATAAGGTCCAGGCCAAATACCCTAGAACAAACAGCAAGCCAATGAGTGCCATCTCGGAGAAGATCAAGGTGGTGGAGATAACTTTCGGAATTTAAATACTTACAAGTCGAATGTGACATCGCCCAGTAAATAAAAAAACGTTAGTTGAATCCAGTGACTTAACCCAAAGAGATGCGTGTTCAGTACCTGGCGGTGAAGAAAGATTTGGGAGATAACTCATACTGTGGCATCCGAAAGAGACATGGCACTTGGAACTAAAACAATCTACTCCGGTAGACGAAATAAAGGGTTCAGTTAGAACATCCAATCACCTGAAGAAGATAGGAACGTACAACTGCCGAAAGGTCGTGAATATGGCAATAAAGATGAAGACAACAGCTCGTACAATGTAAATAATGTAAATAATTACAATACCTCATCTTGGAAATATACACAGATCCTGATGAAGGCCGGTGCGCACAACGACCGAAACCTCGTGAATATGGCAATAAAGATGAAGACAACAGTCTGAACAATGTAAATAATGCAAATAATTACAATACCTCATTTCAGAAATATACACAGATCCCGAAGAGGGCCGGAGCGTAGAACGGCCGAAACGTCGTGAATATGGCAATAAAGATGAAGACAACATTCTGAACAATGTAAATAATGCAAATAATTACAATACTTCGTCTCAGAAATATACACAGATATTGAAGAACATTTGCTGTTCAGTAAAACCGAATACGATCGAAGCTCCAACAACCCGAGTTCCGTATGCCCTCAATAGAACTTAAATTAGGGCCAAAAAGTGGACAGGTTCAACGATTGTTGGTTCTGTGCAGACACAATGATCACAATGATGCAAACCAAGTTCACATCGTGTATGAGACTCCATTGAGCAACAAGTTATCCCACGTGACTCCTTGCCGTAGTGTCCCATGGTCAATTTTACCCCCCATCGTGGTTATGCAGACGGCTGTCAAATACTGGATTAGTTATATATGACACAGTACTTTATCTTCCATTATTTTTGCAAGAAATTTGTAAATGTTATCCCTACAAAATTATTTCAGTTAAACGACAAATGAAAATGTACGTTTCCAGACAACCGCAATAAAGCGAATGTTGCAATATAGCGAGTCATAATGAAATTATTTTCAGGTCATATAAAAGTTGCGTTTGCACTGCAATAAAGTGCATTGAAATAAATTTTCTTGACATGTCTCCTTCGCTTAGAATTCGCTCTGATTTTGAGTTGATATTTGTAAATATTTTTCAAATACAAAAGGTTCCGTTTAAATTACTGCTTTTTATTCAATTACGTTTAGTTGTTTTACCTATCAAATACATATCTAATTTGTTTGTAGCATTCTTTATTTCTGCATTTATTGAACAGTTTCAGTGGTGGAGTATTACTGTTTGTGCTTTGCAAATATAACAGCTGATATTATTAAACCAGAAATTATTTTCACAGTTAAATTTGAAAATCTTTTCTTCGCCAGTATGATTTCTTTCGTTTTGTCCGAATGTTTTTGGTAATTAATTCTAACATTCATGTTATAGTCTTCAGTATCCATTATAAGTATATTTCTTTCTTTTCATTATAATAATCATTCTATCCACATGTCTTTGGTAATTTATGCTAACGTTAGATTTTAGACTAGTGTATCAACTAAATGTGAGGATTCTTTCTTTCTTTATTAGATTTTCTTTCTTTTTTCTTTTTTATTATAATAATCATTCTGTCCAAAAATATTTAGTAATTCATGCTAACCTTCATATGTTATAGTCTTCTCTATCACTTGATTATCTTTCTTTCTTTCTTTCTTTCTTTCTTTCTTTCTTTTCTTACTTTCTTTCTTTTCATTATAATAATCATTCTGTCCAAAAGTCTTTGGTAATTCATGCTAACCTTCATATGTTATAGTCTTCTGTATCACTTGAATACCTTTCTTTCTTTCTTTCTTTCTTTCTTTCTTTCTTTCTTTCTTTCTTTTCATTATAATAATCATTCTGTCCAAAAGTCTTTGATAATTCATGCTAACCTTCATATGTTATAGTCTTCTGGATCACTTGAATGTCTTTCTTTCTTTCTTTCTTTCTTTCTTTCTTTCTTTCTTTCTTTCTTTCTTTCTTTTCATTATAATAATCATTCTGTCCAAAAGTCTTTGGTAATTCATGCTAACCTTCATATGTTATAGTCTTCTGTATCACTTGAATATCTTTCTTTCTTTCTTTCTTTCTTTCTTTCTTTCTTTCTTTCTTTCTTTCTTTCTTTCTTTTCATTATAATAATCATTCTGTCCAAAAGTCTTTGATAATTCATGCTAACCTTCATATGTTATAGTCTTCTGGATCACTTGAATGTCTTTCTTTCTTTCTTTCTTTCTTTCTTTCTTTCTTTACATCATACTAATCATTTACATATCTTTGGTAAATTATGTTAAGGTTAAGTTACCGTTTTGTGTATCAATTGAATGTGTTCTTTCTTTCTTTCTTTCTTTCTTATTTTCTTTCTTTCTTCCTTTCTTCTTTCCTTTCCATTATAATAATGATTTTGTCTAAAAGTTCAATAACTCCTGCTAACTTTCAAATGCTATAGTCTTCTGTATTAGTTGGATGTCTTCTTTCTTTCTTAACTTTTCTTTCTCTATTTCTTTCTTTTTTCTTTCTTTTTCAGATTTTCTTTATCTTTCTTTATTCGTTTTTTTTCTATCTATCTATCTATCTATCTATCTATCTATCTATCTATCTATCTATCCCAGTCTATTTCTATCTATCTATCTATCTATCTATCTATCTATCTATCTATCTATCTATCTATCTCTTCCTTTTGGCCTTTTTTGCTTTTCACTCTCCTGTTCTTTCTTTCTCTCTCATTCTCACACTCTCATTTTTTCTCTCTCGCTGTCTCTTTCTCTCTCTCTCTCTCTCTCTCACTCACTCACTCTCTCACACACACACACACAGACCCTTACTCACTCTTATTTTAATAGGATAAGGAGAAAGCAATGTAGAATAATATAATTGGTTTCGACTATATCTTTGTTTTCCTTTTTTTAAATCTTTTCTTACTTATTTGTATGCTTTGTTATTGTAGCTATACTTGTTGTTACTCTTGTTGCGCTTACTGTCTCTGTTTTTTTGTTTTTTTGTTGTTGTTTTTTTTTTTTGTTGCTGTTGTTCTGACTATTACAAAAACAAAAAAGAAGTAACGAAAATTCCCGCGCTTTCCCTTGGGGCGTGTAAAAGAAGACGAATCAACGTTTTTCATTTAGAGCGCGATCCTTTCTTAACGCTAGTATAAAGTTTACATCTACTTTACGATAACCAGCACCTCATGGCGTCCGACTCCTTTGTTGACTCACAACATGTCAGACCGTTCTAAACAAACTTTTCTTTTATTCCAAAAGACTACATTCGTTAAGTGTCAGTGATTTCCAAAGGTTTCTCTTCTTTCTTTGCATAAATCTTCCACCTTTTCGATTTGCTGTTTCTTCCCGTCATCTCTTTACTTCAAGTTCATTTCCTTTAATTTCCTGTTGAGTTTCCATGTTCTTTCTTTGTTTCTAAATTGCTTCATATTTCTTTCTCTTAGTACAACTCATTCTTACATTAAGGTTTTGATTTCTCGATTTCGTAAGGCATTTTTTCCTTTTTATCATTTCTATACTTTTTCTTAATTTCGTTTTTGACATTTTATTTTGTGTTTTTCATTTTTTTTATATATATTTTCTTCTTCCCGTGTTCCCTTTATTTTATTCTTTCTTTCTTTCTTTCATTCTTTCATTCTTTCTTTCTTTCTTTCTTTTCTTTTCTTTTCTTTTTTTTTCTTTCTTAGTTATTTATCTTCATTAAAATAATCATTCTGTCTAAAAGTTTTTGCTAATTCATGTTAACCTGATATGTCATACTTAAGGCTTTCTTCTTTCTTTCTTTATTTTTCTTTCTTTCTTTTTTTCTTTTTCTTTCTTTCTTTATTTATTTATTTCTCTCTTTCTTAGTTTCGTTCTTTCTTTTTTCTATCTTTCTTTTATTCTTGTTTTTGTTTTTCTTTTATTCTTGTTTTCTAAATTACCTCATATTTCCTTTTCTAATTTTTATTTACGTACGACACAATCTTTCTTTGTTTTTTGTTTTTATTTGTTCATTTTTATTAACTCTAATTTTAATATCAATTTATTTAGCTTTTCTGTTATTTTTCTTTACCTTCTAAATTTTTTTGCTAATTTTTCTTTCCCATTTTTCTTTTCCATTTTTCTTTCCCATTTTTCTTTCCCATTTTTCTTTTCCATTTTTCTTTCCCATTTTTCTTTTCCATTTTTCTTTCAATTTTCCTTTTTTCATTTTTTTTCCCATTTTTCTTTTCCATTTTTCTTTCCCATTTTTCTTTTCCATTTTTCTTTCAATTTTTCTTTTTCCATTTTTCTTTCTCATTTTTCTTTTCCATTTTTCTTTCCCATTTTTCTTTCCATTTTTCTTTTTCCATTTTTCTTTCCCATTTTTCTTTTCCATTTTTCTTTTCCATTTTTCTTTCCCATTTTTCTATTCCATTTTTCTTTTTCCATTTTTCTTTCCCATTTTTCTTTTCCATTTTTCTTTCCCATTTTTCTTTTCCATTTTTCTTTCCCATTTTTCTTTCCATTTTTCTTTCCATTTTTCTTTCCCATTTTTCTTTTTCCATTTTCTTCCCATTTTTCTATTCCATTTTTCTTTTTCCATTTTCTTTCCCATTTTCTTTTCCATTTTTCTTTCCATTTTTTCTTTCCATTTTTTTCTTTACCATTTTCTTTCCCATTTTCTTTCCATTTTTCTTTTTCCATTTTCTTTCCCATTTTTCTTTTCCATTTTCTTTTCCATTTTTCTTTCCCATTTTTCTTTCCCATTTTTCTTTTTCCATTTTTCTTTTCCATTTTTCTTTTTCCATTTTTCTTTCCCATTTTCTTTCCCATTTTTTTTCCCATTTTTCTTTCCCATTTTTCTTTTCCATTTTTCTTTCCCATTTTTCTTTCCTGCTTTCTGTCTTTTTATATTTCTCTATCGAGTTTTATTATTCATCTTTCATTATTTAATATTTTCATTCCATTCTTATGATTTCGTCAGTGATCATTATATATATATATGTCTGAGTATTTCCTTATTTTTAATTTTGTTTCTAGCTTCCTTATGTCAGTATCTATCTATCTATCTATCTATCTATCTGTTCGTATTTACTTCTTTTTCTTCTTTCACATGTGAGATTTTTAATTTAGTATTTCTAAGGAACAGTTTGCGTAATAACATTACAAAGCCTAGCCTCTACTGTATTTGTAGGATAAATATATATTTATACTTGCTTACCAATGACACAAAAAATGAAAACATACTTTCTTTACTTATAAGTACAATTACGGAAATAATAAATCAAATGTACAATAGTGGTGATATACCTAAGTAGATCTATTTTCATACCACTGCCTAAGAAGTCAGGTGAAAACTTATGTGAATTTGAGATAATTATCCAATTGAACCAAATCTTATCCGAATTATGATGAACAGAGCATGCAGCAGAATTAGACCGGAAATAAGAAATAGGACAAGAACAGTGCAGGTTCATTATAGGCATTGGAACAAAGAATACAATATTTATTCTCAGAATGATATCAGAAAGAGCAATATAAATGCAGAAGGATGTGCACCTGTGCTTTATAGATTTTGCAGAAGCATTTGATAAAGTATGTTACAAACTCTTGGAACTGTTATGTAACCATAAGATATTTGGGAAAGATATCGGAATAATCTGGAACCAATACTGGCAGGAAATCGCTTGCATATGGCCAGAAAGTGAGTTCAGAATATATACAAAAATAGAAAGAAGTGTAAGACAATGATGTGTCTTCTCACTGGACTTATTCAACCTATACAGGGAGACGTTTCTGAGAAATATAGATGTCCTAACAGAGCTCTTTAGTGGTGGCCACAATCTTAAAAGAACATCAGATATGCAAATGAGACAGTGCTGATAGCAGACACAGAAAAGAAACTACAGGAATTCTAGAAAATGTCGTGAAAGAAGACGAGAAGAAAAGACTAACGTCAACTGCAAGAAAATAGAAAGCATGGTTGTTAGTAAAATGTACAGCCCATTATACAACGTATAAATTGGAATTATAAGTTATGGAGTTATTTATGTCTCTTAATTTCTTGAGGAACATAAGGCCGAAGAATCACATCTCAAATGGACGTGATTTCGGGTGATCCTCTTCAGCTCGACTCATCTCGTACCGGCTGCCTTTACCTCTGCGTCAACACTTCTGCACCAAGTCTGTTTTGGTCGACCTGCTTTTCGCTTCCCTTGTGGATTCCAGTCAAGGGCCTGCCTGGCGACACTAGAAGCAGGCTTGCGGAGTGTATGGCCGATCCATCACCATTTCCGTTTCCCTCTTCCCTCTTGATTCCTTAAGGAACATAGGGCCGCAACAACACCTCTACAGTGGACGCGGTTCCGGGCGACCCTCTTCAGAATGGACGCTGTGTGTTGAAAGCGTGTCGGAATTTGTTGATTCAGCACTTGATGTCTTCATCTACCCCTCTCCATCTTTACTGACGACGCTTCCCAGGTAGACAAATTTACCGGCTTCTTTTTAGTCGCACTGGGTCTTGTCTGTTGTTTACCCTCATGACTTCCGTCTTCCCGATGTTGATTTGGAAGCCAGTCTTCTCCGCTTCTTCTGCAACGCGACTTAGCTTCTCCTACGCATCTTCTTGTTTGGGAGAGAAGGCTGATGCTGTCTGCGAAGACCAAATGTTCCAGCTGCTTCATGTAAACCAAAATCAATGAAGTAGAACAATTTAAATATCTGTGAAATGTTTTAAGAGAGGTCAGAAAGTGGGACACTGACATTCGGAGGATACTTGGGATAGCAAAAGATGTCTTCCAAAATCTTAGCCAACTAGCAGAATCTCGTTAGAAACAATGAAAAAAGTATTGAACTGTTATGTAATATCAGTTCATTTATATGGTAGTGAATGCTAAACAATCTCAAGACAGACGACGAAGAGACTTGAAGCAACAGAAATGTAATTCTATAGAAAGATGCTGAGAATACCATGGACATAACATTTAAAACATGGCAAAGTTTTAGAGAAAATGGAAACAAAAAGGGTTCTCACAATCAGAGAAAGATGAAATTCCTAGAACACATAATGAGGAAAGAGGACTTGAAAATTTTAATTCTCACAGGACACATTGAAGGCAAAAGGGATAGAAAAAAACAAACCATGATCTACTTGGCGAGTTTGAATAAATGGAAGGTGGGACAAGTTTTAAAAGAGATGACAAAAGTTATTAAGTGATAGGAAATTGTAAAGAGCCCTGATCGCCTACGTCCTGAAGAGACACTGCACACAGAAGAATGATATGAGATTTTCATATATAAGTATTTAAATATATTTTCCAATTATTATATTAATATGTAGTATGTCTCGGGAATTACTTTATTACTTAATAACAATAGAAAACTGATATATCTGTTTCTCTCCAGTAAAATTTTATATTAATACTAGTTTGCACATACGTTAAAAATGATAAGATACTTTGTTATACCCTTACTATTTTGTACTTTTAATACGTGAATGATAATATACATTTTTCAGTTTCCTATTATAACTGTGCCTAACCCCGCCTTCCTTTGTTAGCACGACGATTACTTTCTGTCAATATCTCGTAAATAATTCCATGTTTTGATCTCATGGAAAAAGGAAGAGAATCAGTACTTGGTTTCAGTAAGAAAACGAAAGAAAGAATAAAGGGAAGACAGAAGTGGAGAGAGAATCGGATCAAGCTGATAAGAACAAATACTACACACTGATCTCAACCAAAAGGCCTTATAAGTAATGGTGACCGCGATAAAAGCGCCATTTTTCAGGCGCACAGTATGGAACGACGGAAACCGACTAAGGCAATCGTCAAATATCCAAACTCAATAAATTAAATAAAATAACAACTTCTGCTGAATTAATTTTAAATTATTATTAAGAGAAATGTTCGGGGATTTGCCTAGAAAGAAAGAAAGAAAGAAAGAAAGAAAGAAAGAAAGAAAGAAAGAAATGTTTAATATCTCCTGCCAATACCTTGTACATAATGGAGTATTCTGTTTTGACCGCGTGTAAAGTGGGGAAAAGACACTACTTGGTTTCAGTGAGAAAAATAAAGAAAGAAAATACAAAGTATTTATATGTATACATTCTGGTATATTTGCCCATTTGGTTACATACAATTATAGAGTTCTATTTTGTGGATCAGTTTTAATATTTTATGTGAATAGGATCTGCTTGGATTACTTACCCACACACACACACACACACATATATATATATATATATATATATATATATATATATATATATACATATATATCCGGCAAATGTTATTAATACTGTTTATTATAAACACGGGATTTACTCAAATATTTGTGTATATAGATAAATAAGGTATAACAATAAAATATATTAAAATAATTGTCAGACTTAGCCTATTTTTATATATATATATATATATATATATATATATATATATATATATATTAAGCACCTCTACTAATTTTCGATACCTAAGGTTTAAAATAATTTTAAAAATGAAAAAAAATTCTTGAAGCTTTCTTTTTAGCTTTAATTGAAAACTAAATTATTAAGCAAAACACTGTGGTGTTTTTCAAATAGAAATTATATTTATTGAAATCACAAACTTTTGTTTGCTTTCAGAAACATCATTAAAATCGGCCATTTTTGACACATTTGTAAACAAAAATTAATTCTCAAATTTAAAATTTTCCAAAAATAACATATACTTTTCTGAAAAATCTTCTGAGGAATATTAGCTGATTTAAAGTATAATTAATCTGATAAACAAATATTTACTTTAAGTTGAAACAGACAGAGAAATGGATATTTAAAACAAACGGTAGCAGTGATTTACATGGTCTTCTTTGCTTCGTCAATCACTTATCAAGTACTGATATGATGTTGACAGGTCTACAGCGATTTTATCTGTTAAAATATAATTTTAAAAAATGACAGGTGTGCGTCTTTTTTACATAGTTTTTAAATACTCACTAATCTTAGAAATGTTGAAAAATATTTTCTGTAACCTAATTTTAGGAATGTTCACTTTAAATTTACTGTAGTCATTGCTCTTATTTTTTGATATTGTCGTGTATGTTCAACCATACTTTCAAATAGGGATAACTTACGTTATATGCATAAAAAAATTAAAAGTTAGTTAGCCGAATACTTTGTATTATGTTCTCAATTTTTGATTAGCAAAGATAATTTCACTTAATAACAATAGCAAAGAGCCAGATGAAAGTAATTCAGAATTTTAAAAGATTTATAAATTATAAATTATTATAATTAAATTTTTTAAAAATGAAAACAATTCTTGGAAAAATTCATTATTCATCGAAAAAAAAATTTTCTCTAGAGATTAGTGTCCTTAATGAATCTTATTTATGAAAGCAGTTAAAAGACTTTCTAATTAAATAATGTCATAGTTTTATGCATTTTTTATTTTACGATTTTCCGGAAATGGGCATCAGTTTGAAAAAAAATTATGATTTACATTCTGCAATTAGACCTGCTTTTAACTATTAAAAAAATTCTGATTAAAATTTAATTTCTCGAAATTTCATGAAATTAAGTAAGTGGTGAGGGTCATGTAAAAAAATATTATTTACCAAGATTTTCTAAAACAACATTTCAAAAATAATTTAATTCATTTGTGAATAAGTCCTCAAAGTTTCATGAAAGTCCGACAATTATCTGATTTGTGCAAGAATTTCCAAATAAATGTGTTCTTTCACCTTGAAAAAAACGCTAAAGCACGAATTGTAAATATTGTGTCGACCGCTGACGTAAAAAAAAAAGAACAATATTTTAAACCAAAATGTCGTACATGATGGAAAGGATTAAAACATTTAATAAAATAATAAAAAATACTTTGGTCTTTCTTCATAAACATTTTGACAATAAAACTTTGTTTTATTAAATTTGGGGCCTTTTTTCATCATGCTATGGTGTCTATTCAGCGAAAAAGTGGCGGTACCTAAATAAAGACATTCATATTACTAACACAAAAAAAGAGAATGTCTCATATCGAGAATATTTAACATCGAAGAACATAAAGGAGAAAAAATTAATTACTTTTAATAATATGTGGAAATCTCCACCCTTTACCTGAAGACGGTCGCGAGACCAG